AACATTAATAGATTTTTTTTTTTATTAATCATACCACGAATACGCTCGGGAACTCCTTATCTAAAATTTTTATTTTATTTTGAGATTATTAGCTGAGAAAAATATATTTTATTGATTGATGATTTAAATTGCAAAAATAACTACTTACCTATTCCAACTCGATTGGATTGCAATTAAGTTTTAAACTCTTCCTTTCGACCCAATAATATATGTTTATGTCTAAATGAGTCGTGTCGGATAATAGAACAATCTAAGGAAACATTTTTTTTTTTTTTTGTTTTCCTGTTGCCAAGGTCTTTAAGACAATTTTCTCAAACGACCACGTGTCACGAACGTTTCTTTAAAACTATTCGAAATTAAAATAGATCGATAGAAAAATAGGTGCTTATAACACCATTTTATATCTGTACAAGTATTAATATTTTAATTTAGTATGATGTAATTTAACTGGTCTGCAAGATACCGGTTTACAGTGAGGCTTATAATTTTATTGGACAGTGGAAGAAAAAATAATTTTGTTTTCCATGAAATTTATAACTCTATTAAAATTAAAATACAAATAGTAAAGTGAACAGAGAAACATTTTTTAAAAATCATTTTATTGAGGTATAATACATTTTACCAAACTGAAGGGTACTGAGTATTAAAGCTGTAAGGCACATACATACCATATTTACAATATAATAAAATGAAATACATATAAATAGATATATAAAGATAATAATGTATATATAACAAAAATAAAAACTGTAATAAAAACAAAGAAACATAGCTTATAGTGAAATAATACAGAAAATTCATAACGAAAAAAAAAATGAAATTAAAGTGATATTTATGATAATGAATAATTAGAATTGAGTAAAAAAAATAAATAAAAAATAACTAACAGTCATACTTATTTACAATCAGCCAAGAGAGCTCCAAGTTCAGCTCTATGAGATCCCAGCGTTACTCTCTCAGTCGCGTCATCGGAATTAGAGTCCAGTGGAGACTAAGAGAGAGCACTACAGCCACAGACGCTCATGACTTGAGTGGAGAAGCTGGCCAGTGCCAGAACTCCAATGACATATTTACAAAAGATCTCGAGGCCACTGCCGTTTCAACCTTCGAGGAGGATTTTAGAGATGGCTGGATATACGGATTGTGCTAACGGGTTAGGATGGTGGATTAGGTTCAAGTGAAAATTTGAGAATGGGGATGGAATAACATCAAGGACATAAGGAATGTAAAGGTCATGATGTAAGGTATTGTTTGTGACATAATAAGGTGCATTGACTATTATATGGAGCACTTTAGACTGTAGGATTGAATGCGTTTGATGTTCGAAAATTTGGTTGTCCCGCACAGTTCAAGTCCGTAGATCCAGATGGGTTTCAGTATGATCTTGTATATTAATAGTTTGTTTTCAATTGAGAGGTTAGATTTTCTGTTAAGTAGTCTGTATAGCTGGTCAAATCTTCTGCTAAGTTCTTGTCTTTTAAGTCTGTTATGTGAGTTCCATGTTAGTGAGAGAAATATAATGACATGAAAAAACTCATTGTTATCATTCCAATAAACGTTCTACATTTGGATGCAGGGGTGCCAAGAAGGTTTCTTGGCGTAAGTTGCGCCTTCAAAAATTTTTAGGGAACATATTTTGATGGATTTTTGATAAAGACTTCATCCCAGAGGATGGGATTATGAAGTTTCAAACAAGGAGATAAGGAGAAAACATTGAATAGAATGAAGCAAGTGTAATTTTTTTATGATCAATGAATTTTATAATTCTACTTTAGCTTGCACTTTTTTTAAGAAGAGGTGAGCAATAAAATATCTCGGGAGAAGGAAAGAGGTTCATCGGCTTCGGAGGACGGGAGAGGGAGAGGATGGGCATCCCTGCTTAGAATACCCGAGGCCATCTTCTTTTCAGACGCCTGGAAGTGTTATAGTAGCTAAGAGAACGGGATGGCCAAGCACGTTGAGGCGTGGGCCCCTGAGTGCTCGGTTCTGAACGTTGTGGGTTCGATTCCCGCCTGAGTCGATTTATCTTCATTTCTCGGCAGCCCCGGGAAAAAGATCTTGACATTCCCAAACATCAGAGGTCGGCAAAATGGACCATTTGACTCGTACTAGTACCTACACTAGTACCAGTATCATAGTTAACCTTATAGTATAGTAGATAACCCCATTAGTATAACAGTATAATCTAATATTTAGGTAAATATAGAATTAAAATAAATAATATAATCTAGATATATTATTGGTTATTTTAATGCTATCGTGCGTGAGTTAATTATGATTATCATTTTAGGAGGTTTATGGATGATGAAGAAATAGACAAGACTATCAAAGAAATTTTAAACGTTAATGCCCTTCTTGAACACAATCCAATGTTTTTCGTGTAACTAATCTCAATATAGCGAAGATCGACCGAAAATGTATAGGCAATAGAAAACTGTATATTGTTTATTTTAGCTTCCATCTACTGTAATCGAAAAATAAAGAATATTTTAGACGGGAAAATCATCTTTTAACATTTAATTTGTAAGATTAGAAACATATAACATTTACAAAAAAAAGGTTCCGTCGCTATATATAGGGTGTTACAATAGTAGAGGAGAATATTGAAAAGGTTAATAGTAGACACTAGCGGATCCAGGATTTAATTTTTTTTTGGGGGGAGGGCTTCAGCCCGAAACGTTTTTTTTCATAAAAATAACGATAATTACTTTGGAAAAACAGAAAGAAACTAACTACCTATATGAAATGATGTTTAAGTTATTCCTTAAGTACTTTTAAATGTAATTACACGAACAATAATACTTTAAGAGGTATTTTTAAAATTTTTTTTCCCATAAAACATGGTTATATTTTTCCATTTTGGGGGGGGGGGGCTTCAGCCGGAACGCCCCCCCCCCCTCCCCGTAGATCCACCCGTGATAGTAGACATCAAGATCTACAAAAAAGTTCAAATAACTAAATGAAATATTTCCAGCTGAACATTAGGGAATTTAATTTATGTTTTTTTTTAAACGAGTCATTTTTGTGTTGATATCTACAAGCTAATTGATGTCTACAAGTAGCTTGATGTCTTTTTGGCGGTACTGTTGTGTCTGTCAGCGTGCTGCCGGCTTGGGGTATCGATGTTCAATTAAAAAACTGAAGAGGATCCCATTATTTATTTTTAAAAACAGGGATTGAAACGTTTGAATAAAAATAATAAACAGAAGTTGTTTCAGCTAATTCAAGTGCATTTCATGACCTATTATCCCTCTATAATTGTTACCTTAAGTTTATAAGTGTATATAAAACTAAATATTAAAAAAAAACTTTCATATCGAAATCATAAATATATATATACACTGACAGGCAAAAAATTCCACCCCCTTGATTTTTTCATGTTTTCGTCTAAAAATATTTCTGCTTTGGATTGTTCTATTGTTTTTAATGAATACATAGGTAATCTTTTTGTTTGTTTTCAATTAGGAATGTTAATATAGAGGACAATAACCCTTAATCCTCAATTCAATGAAATGATTCTAGATTCCAATGTTTACTTTCTATGGAATCAAAATGTTTATTCAGTATCATTAGTTCAGTGCCGTTTCTCGCAGCACATTTCTTAGTCTCCGGCTTTTAATTTTTTCAATATTAAGTTTAAAAATGCCTCTTAGTGCTGAGGATGTTGCGCTTGGTGTGGCACTTATTGATGACGGACGTTCCATTAGATATACAGCTAATGCCATCGGACTTCCATATGAAACTTTACGAGACGCCGTCAGGCGTTTTCGGGAAACTGGTTCTTACAATAGAAGGCCGGTTCTGGACGTCCTAGGGTAACAGAACCTCGGGATGACGGGTTTTTGACTTTGAGAATTTTACGAAACCGGCATCTTACAGTTATTCAAGCGATTCATCAGCTCGAAGAAGTTCGAGGTGTGCAAATTTCTGAAAGTACCGCTCGGAGTGAGTATGGATTAATGGCTTTTCGTCCAGTAAGAGGACCAGAGTTGACCAGAACACACAGAGTAACACGGCTGGCTTTTGTTTCGAGAACACAGCCATTGGACTATGGACGAATGGAGTGCTGTACTTTTTACAGATGAGCCGAGATTCGCTCTTTGATCTCCAGCCGGGCGTGAAAGGGTGTGGAGAAGAAGAAACAAAAGATATGCAGCCTGTAATTTTTCCCAAAGCCAACCTTTCCAACGTGGTTCCTTAATGGTGTGGGCTGGGATTTCAATGGAGCGCCGCACAGAATTGGTTGTTGTTCGTGGAGGGTCTTTGACGGCCATTCGCTATGTAGATGAGATTTTGGAACCTCATGTGTTGCCTATCACCTCCTCCTCATCCTCAACGAAAGCCTATATCCTCAACGAAATCGGCGATATTTCTATCCTAATGCACGATAATGCACGCCCACATGTCGCACGCACAGTGCAGACGTTCCTTCAACAGAACAATATTGAGGTTTTAGACTGGCCAGCACGTTCTCCAGATTTGAACCCCATTGAGCATTTATGGGATAACCTCGGAAGATGAATAAGAGCGCGTGCAACACTTCCTGATACACTGCAGGACCTTGAAAGGGCTCTTCGGGAGGAATGGGCTATCTATCCTCCAGCAAAAGGACATTTCCCGACTGGTGGAAAGTATGCCGAGGCGTCTTCAAGAAGTAGTGAAGGCAAGAGGAGGAAACACGCGCTACTAAACGATGATGTAATTAATTTATTTTAGAATAGTAATAGTTTTTTCAATTTTTTTTTCTCCAATCTTTCTTACCCAATCACATTTTGATTATTAAAGGTAAAAAAGATTATAAAATTCCATAAATACTAAGTATTATCTACAAATACCATGTATTATATACAAATACAACTATACAGAAATATTTTATGTATGTATATATTTATATTTAATACAATCGAAATACATATATATTTTGTATTTCGAGATGACATTTTTAAAAAATATTTAGTTCTTAGTAAAATTGTTAATGCCAAACAGCAATTAATTCACATAATAGCAATAGATTCACAGTAAATTTTTTTGAAGCTCGTTTCGATTAGGTGTAATAAAAAGCTTACATAGAGTCAGAAGTCTAATCCTTACTTCCGCCTCCACCTTATTTATTATAACTTATATTATTAATTCTCATCATATTCAACATGTCTATATTTTATTATGTATCTCGCGAAGAACGATACCCGTAGATTGTTTATTTCACACAAGGGGCAACAAAAATAACTATTTATAAATTTAATTTAATTTAGTCCTGTTCCAGTCATTGTTTGATACCTATAGAACTAGCTAGTCCTATCTAAGGTATCCACATCCTCTGCAAAATATATGGACACAGCAGATCTCTTGAATATTAAGGTAATTTTTTACTGCCTATTCAAGGAATAAATTAAATAATAAACTTGTAACACAGTTATAGTTGCGCTTCTTTAGGTGCGTTTAGACATTTCACAAACAGTGGAAAACGCAATTATTTAACTTAACTAACAGCGACATAAGCTTGTTGATATCAAAATATAAAAAATAAGAAACAACCTTTTAGATATTTGTGTTTACCATAGTTTGTGAAATGTCTAAACGCACCTTTTCATAGTGATTTTTTTTTAGACGTATTAGTTTGAAGCAAAACCTTGTGTAGGCTTATTTAGAAAAAAAAAATATAAGGAAAGAACAGGAAAAGGTTCTTTAAATACACGAAGCTAATCTGTTCCTATCAATTTCAAGATGAAAATTGCTTTTAAAAATGACTTAGCCAATTCGATTGCTAGTGCTGATTTTTTCTTTTCCGTTTTGCCTTCAAGTGACTTGCTGAAGTTTAAATTTATAAGACATCTCGAATTACAATTGCTGAGTCAGTTTCACATTTACATCAATTCGTTTAAATAAGTGTTAGCTATTTCTGTCCCTATAATTTTTTGAATGACGATTTATTTTCGAATGAAAGAATGGTTAATGTTATCGTTTATATTATTTCTAAAAGGTGTTTTTTTGTCGGTACGCCACGACTTCGTCAATTCTACATCAAATCCAATGATTGACCACTCATTCTCCTTCACATCCGAAAAATCGTCATATCCCCCCATATTTCTGGAAAAAAAATTATGAACTAAAAGAAACTTTATTTGCGAATAAATCAAAAAGTATGCATTTTTTTCTGGATTGTACTCATGATAATTAAAAAGATTTCTAAATTACCTACAAAACAAATAAAAAATCGTAAAAATCGATTAGAAATATGTATAATTTAATCAATTTGTATTTTCGGAAGGAGTAAAGTGTGTTGAAATATATTTTTTCTAAAAGAAACGGAGTTGAGATTTATATTTCGCAGCTCGAAAGACCCTCAAATATGAATTTTTATTGCGATCGAAAAAAATAATTTTTATTTCGAAAATCACAAAAAGTGTTATAACTTCAATATTCTTCCACCTATTCGCACGAAATTGTACAGGGATATAGATCCTTATAAACCACACGAAATGACACAAACTGTACCTTCCTAAATAATTTAGAACTCAAGTTATAAAATAAAAACATGTTAGGAGTTTTATTTCTTTACTCTTTATAGACGTGTTATATCAAAAAGTTATTTGTAAGGTCTTGAAGAGCGATAATTCAGCTTTCCAACGGTTGTAGAAACTATAACGATAGGATAAAATCCTGAGGAGTTATGAATGTTTTAGTTAAAGGCAAGCAAAAATATCATAACTCAAAGTGAAGTCGTTGCCATGACGACTATCTCAGCACAGCTCTGACGATTTATTTTCGAGCCAAAGATTGGTTAATGTTATCCTATGTATTATTTATAAAAGGCGTTTTTTTGTCGGTACGCCTTAACTTCGTCAATTCTTCATCAAATCCAATGATTGACCACCTATTTTGAAGATATTACAATAATTAAAAAAGTGTGTACTAAATTACTTACAAAACAAAAAAAAAATCGTAAAAATTGAACAATTATAAACAAAGATGCAGTGCATTAGTTTTGGTATGCTTAATAATGTCTTTATGTAAAGTCTCTTGAAAGATACTGCATTTAGGAGTAGAATAGTCTATCACACTTTTTTTCCTGGCTGATATATTAACTTTATTATTTCTTAAAGGCATTTGTTTGTTCTTACATTTTATTTTATTTATACCTTAGAAAATCCCATGATCGGGACATTATTTTGTCTTTTTTACTTTTATTATCTTTCCAGTCAGCGTTTAAAAATAGGTCCTAGCAAAAGGATTTATACAAATATTTTGGTCTATTATGTTAAATGGAATATTGTAATCGACATAGGAAAAAATATTAATTCCTTCCTTACATAATATATAGGAACTACTTATTTCCATATTGTTGTGCTATTTCTTGACTAAATAAATTTTCTGCGAATTATTCGCAGGGGCCAATTAGTTTATATAATTTAATAAGATATATTAAATTCAAAATATCATTTTTAAAGAAACTTAGATTTGTATAGAAAAATTAATAGGATAAAATGCAACATCAATCAA